CCGGGAACGCGCCTGGGCCTGGGGCTTTGGGCCGAGGGCGCCGGCTCTCTGACCCGCGCCTGCTTCCTGGCCGGTAACCGCCCTGGGTAGATGTCCTCTTTGCCCGACGGCAGCCTGGCTGCTCACTTGTGTCTTCCCAGAAAACCGTCTTGCCGTTTTTCCAGTTTTCTGGCACAAAGTGCAGAGATCCTCTGTCTGTCTTCCCGTTTCCTGTCTCCGCATCACAACTCCCGCACGCACGTTGCCGTGGCCCATGCTGTCAACTGCTCCGTGACCCCACGCCTCTGTGTGACCTCGGGCCTCGCTGGAGGCGACATCAGTCCACCAGTTTTCTTGAGTTTTTCAAAGATAGCAGTGTCTTCGCCCCCCCACCGAGAAGACTTACTCATCCACTCTTCTTGGGAAATTGGGCTGTTTGCAATGTTTGGCTCTTAAGAGAACACCTTTTGTATTGAGAATTATTCCCTTGGGCGAGATTTTCTGGATCAAAGGGTGAGCATGGTTTTTAGGCCGATTTACTTTCCAGAAGGTTGTTCACATTCGCACTCCCACCAGCAGGCTGATTTCCAAACCCCAGGTCAGGGCACACGCCCTCCTCCGGATATAACGCTCTCCAGGGCCGCCCCGCTGCCAGCGAGGCCCCTCAGGCCTCACCCGCGCCCCAGGTCACCGCTCGCTTAACAGGCGCGGGCCCAGCTGCGGACGAAGCACGTCGGCGGGAGGAGGAGCTAGTCTGTGGGGAGTGAGGCCAGGGACACCTGTGTGGGCCCCACCGCTGGGACCTGGTGTCAGGTGGGGCATGGATGCGCCTGCGTCCCACGCAGCCCAGGGACTGCGTCCAGGGGTGGGGACCAGGCAAGGGAGCGCACAGGGAGCCCTGGCAGCCCCTAAACACAGCTGGAATCCGCAGGGTCTCCAGCCCACGGACCCGACTCTTCCCTCAAAATCGTGAGTCTGGTCACGGGAGAGGCCTGTCTCACTCACCGACCCCGTTCCCTTCCCCCTCCCCCGCACCCTAGGCCTCCTCCCAGAGGACCTGGGTGGTGGTGGAGCGGAGGCGGGGACGCAGGCCTGGCTGCCTGGGCGCGGAGGGGTGGCGTATGGGAGGTGGTGGGCCAGGTCAGCCGCGGGTCTCCCGGGGCTGCCCCGCCACTACACGCTCCCTGGGGAATCGGAGTCTGGCGAGACCTCAGCCTCCGCCGCGTCCCCGCCTTTGCGGAGGCCGCGAGCCCGGGAGGCGGGGAAGGGGGCGGGGGATGGCGGGCAGGCGGGCGGGGCCCCGCGCGTGGGGCGGAGCGCAGGGTCCGGCCGGGCTTGCCGCTGCCCCTGCGCCCCCCGACGCGCTCGCCAACCCGGGGGCCGGCGGACCGGGACCCACGGAGGACGCCGGCTGCGCCCGGCCCGAGGCTCGGAGCGGGGTGGGGGGCGCGGGGCACAGCCGGCCGGGGCGCGGGCGCCCAGGGGTCCCGGCGCGGGGGCGGCGGGAGCAAGAGGGGTCCGGCGCGCCGAGGACCCCCGGGCCGACTGGGCCAAGGTAGGCGGCCGCCGCGGAGGTGGCGGGCGGGGGTGCGGACCGGCTGGGGTGCGGGGACCTGTCGGAGCCTTTGTCTGCGGCGCGCGCAGCCCCACTCCGCGCCGGCTCGGGCCGCGTCCAGGGGCGCGGGCACGTGACCCTGGGGAACCCAAGCCCCCCACCCCGCGCCCTGTCCCCGGAGGAGGGAGCTCCCACCCCGCCGCGTCCAGCGTCCGTACGGGGCCAGCCCCCCAACCCTGTCAGCCCATCTGCGAGCTCAGCGCCAGACCCGGGAGGGGGCAGAGCAGCGGGGTCCCGCGGTCCCGGGTCTTGTGTCACCCCTTCCCCGGCACCGGCACCGGCACCGGCTAAGTAAGGATCCTCTCGCCCGAAGGGCCCCTGCCCCTCGCCCTGTCCCCCAGCCAGCCCTCTCCAGGCTCTTGGACAAGCCTGTGGAAGAGACAGGCCTGTGCCAGGGGTCACCTCGCCGTGGCGGGGCATCTGCCCTTGGCCTGGGGGCGCAGGCCTGAGCACCAACTTTGTTGCTGATGGAATCAGGCAGTGGGGGGTGCAGGGGGATTTGTTGCGAGCGTCTGGAAACTGCAGGAACCAGGAAGAAAGAGGGAGGTGTCCTGGCTGCCCCAGCCGCCAGCCAGCGCCTGTGCCCAGTGCATTCAGCTGTCCTGGGGGAGGCCCCAGAAGGGGGGCGATCAGAGGACCCTAAACCCACTTTCCTGTGGGCAGAGGCGACCCCGGGGGCGGCGGGGCAGCGCGGAGGGCTCGGCAGTGGAAAGAGTGGCAGAGGACTCAGAAGCCGGCCTAGGTGCAGGGCTGGGGCCACCCAAGGGCGTCCAGCCGCCCAGGGCTGTGAGGCCCACACAGGGCCAGCAGGCTGGCCTTCCACGTGGAATTCAGGATCCCCGGCCCCCTCCCTGGGGATGTGCGCACTCCAGAGGTGGAGCATTGCCCCTGAGGGGTCGGCCTGGCCCTGGGGCACATTCAGAACTGGTGCCCACTCAGTCTCGGCTGGAACGGGGGAGCCGAAGGCGTCCGGCCCGCCGTGTGTCCCCGCCGTGGCGCGCGGCGCCTCCGTGCCCTTTCTATGACGCGGCGGCCTGAGCCGGGCTTTCGCACTGTCGAGGCCGGGAGCCCCCTCGGGCCCCCTGGCAGCGCTCTGATGTGGGGCGCATGGGGCCGCTCACACCCCCCCCCCGTCCCTGTTTGGGAGGGACATTGCCCTCCTGGCCCACAAGATGGGGTTGGGGACTGAGGCCCAGGGGTGACCTGCAGGTGACCGGCTGCTCCCTGGGGTGGGCACAGAGGGGCCCCGGCAAGGCCAGGGGCAGAGGAGAGCCCGGTGCGTTCTTGGATCTTTACGCCCATGTGCATGTTCTAAATTGTAATTAAAGGGGGACACGCGAGGAGGGGAGCGGGCGGGCGGCGACCTGAGGCCCTGGGCCGCTGGCGTGGAGCGGGAGGGGCCTGTGAGGGCGACTCTTCGGTCACCCGCTCACACCCATCATCCCCGCAGCCGTTCCTCGGCCCGGGGCCGTGAGGTCGTGTTCGGGGACCTGGGTCCGTGTCAGCGGGAGCCAGAGCCCCCCCGCACCCCTAGGAGCAGGTCTGAAGGAGCACATGGGGACGGTGGCTGGGCACAGCTGTGGGTGGCAGCTGCCTGCAGCCCCCCTGAGCCGGTGGCAGCGGTGGGGCCGCCTCCTGGCTGGATGCTGAGCACGTCCGCCGTCCCCAGTGGCGTGGCCTCTCAGCCGGGCAGAAGCTTCACAGGAGGCCCGGCGTGTCCGCGTGCGGCGTCTGCTGACCCTGTGCCAGTCAGGCCCTGGGGGCCGGGGCGCGGCAGCCTCGGGGCTGGGCCCGCTCCGCCCTGAGCCGGTCGAGAGGCGCGTCCCATTGTTGTGGGCGCTGCTCTGCCCACGGTCTGTCCCAGCCCCACATCCGCCGAGGGAGGCTGGGTGGCCGGACTCCGGGCCTCCAGCGGGGGGCCCTGCCCAAGGCCCCATTCAAATCCAGGCTGGGCTCTGTCCAGAGTCCTGCTTGCAGCCCCAGCTTGGGATGTGGCAGGAGGCCCAGGGCTGGGGCTCAGGAAGGAGGTCCTGAGGGGGCTGTGTCTGATGTCCCAGCCCCCGAAGAAGCCCCAGCCTCCTGCCCAGTGCACATGGCGCCCCCCAGCCTGTCGGCCCAGATGTGGGGGAATCTCTCCCCGCCCCTAGGGCCAGCCTGGAAACAGGGACAGCCCCGGGCTCCCAGGCCCCAGTGAAATCTGCAGGGAGCCCTGGCTGGTGTGGCTCAGTGGGTTGAGCGCCAGCCTGTGAACCAAAGGGTGGCCGGTTCGATTCCCAGTCAGGGCACGTGCTTGGGTTGCAGGCCAGGTCCTCAGGAGGGGGCTAGTGAGCCGCAACTACACGATGATCTTTCTCTCCCTCTCTTTCTCCCTTCCCTTTCCTCTCTCTAAAAATAAATAAATAAAATCTTAAAGAAAAAAAGTCTGTGGGGAGCCAGGAAGGGGGAGCCAGGGGCCTGGGGAGGCGCTCCATACATTGGCTCCGATTCTCTCTGGTGAGCATGTGTCCTTTTTGCAATCAGATGAATAAATAAGGTCATTAGAAAAACAAACTGATAAATGTTTTAGGTAAAAATCTACTCCCCCCCTGACAGGGCTCTCTATGTGGGGGGGGGGGGGCGTCACTCCATCCTAGATCCACAAGCCCCTCCCTGAGGCTCACAGCTTTGAATGGAAGGGAACAAGGGGAACGGAGGCAAGGCCAAAGGGGACACTCTGCCGGTGGCGGAGGTTGGCCCCCAAATGGGCTGTAGTGGCCCAGAGCGTCCACAGGCCTGGGCTTGGGTTGGGGCTCCCCCGCTTACCTCTGAGACCGGGGCGGCAGGGCAGGGGGCTTGCTCCCCCGTAACCCTCATTCTCCTGGCTGTTAGGGGGTGAACGTGGGCCCCGCCTCCCAGAGGGAAGCACGGAGCTCAGCAGTGTCATCTGCTGCTCTGACTGCCCACCCCGTCCGGCCACTCTCGCCTCTCCGTGCCCACTGCCGCCGCCCTCAGGCAGGCTCTGTCATTACCTCTTCTTTAAAAAAAAATTTTTTTTAATTTACTTACTTTTAGAAAGGAAAGGAGGAAGAGAGGGAGACAAACATTGATGCGTGGTTGCCTCTCGAGCGCCCCCCTACTGGGGACCTGGCTCGCAACCCGGGCATGTGCTGGGAATCAAACTGTTGACCCTTTGGTTTGCAGGCTGGCGCTCAACCCACTGAGCCCCAGCAGCCAGAGCCATTGCCTCCTCTTAAGAGGCAGATCACACAACATCCTCGTCTGCCTAGGTCTGTGGGCTCCGTCGCGCTGCTTCTGAGCAGGCGGGGTGACAAGCGAGGCCGCCCCCCAGCGCAGGCCTGGTGGCCTGGCGGCGGCAGGGGCCCCTCCTGGCTCCCTCAGCCTCCCTCTCTCCGCAGCACGGGCTGCCATGGGCTCCGTGGGCAGCCAGCGTCTCAAGGAGCCCGGTGTGGCGGGCACGCCGAACAGGAGCGTGGTGACGACAAGCTTCGGCTTCGACAGCTGCCTGCTGGAGGAGGCGGCGGCTGCAGGGGCGGCGCATGGCCAGGGCGGCAGGGCCAGGGGCGCCCCGATCCTCACGGACGCTGGTGAGTGAGGGTGCAGGCGAGGTGTGTGTCTGGCCCAAAGCAGAGCGGCCAGGCGAGCGCTTGGAGAGGGAGCCGTGGGCCGTCGCTGAGCGCGGGGTCTGCGGCAGTGACCAATGGGCCCTCGGGTGGGTCTCGGCGCCTTCGCCGGTGGGCCACGTCCCCGGTGCAGGTACGGAGCCAAAGGCTCCCTCCGCACAGAGGCCTCCGCGACCCCCGGTCTAGGCAGGAGGGCGCACGGCGACTCACACGCTGACCCGGGCGTGAAACCTCTCTCTGAAGTGACGCAGGTCGCTTGGGTCACATTCATGGGCCAAAGCAAACCTCAGGGGAGATGGGACGGTGCCCGGGCCGGACTGACGTGAGCTGCGAGGCCTCATTTGGGCCAGGATGCGTGACCTCGGCCCAGGGCCTCAGGCTCGCCGAGCCGTGGGGGGGCAGGCCAGGCGCCCGTGGGATCAGGCCTGTGTGGACGGCTGCGTGGGGGGCCGGCGTCGGGCACGTGTGCCGAGGGCGATGGAAACAAGCGGTGACAGCCGTGCGGCTGGCAGCCCCGGGGGCGGCGGCCGTGGCGCTGGACCGCAGCCTGGGGGGAGGCTGTGGCCACGCGCAGGCCCGCCCACCTCTCACCGGGGTCTCGGGGTCAGCCGCCGAGGGGCCGGTGCCCGATGACCGCTACCACGCCATCTACTTCGCAATGCTGCTGGCTGGCGTGGGCTTCCTGCTGCCATACAACAGCTTCATCACCGACGTGGACTACCTGCATCACAAGTTCCCAGGTGGGTGGCCCCGGCCCCCCGGTCCCATTCGGCCATCAGAGGCTCCCGGCCCATGCCAGAGACCCCACAGGCAGGACCCCGCTCGGGGAGCCTGTTCTATTCAAACCCAGGCTCGGTTCTGAGCGGCGAGTGACCTCGGGGCCGCCCCTCGCCCTCTCTGGGCCCTCAGGGGACGGGGCAGTGCCTGGCGGGCAGGAAGGGGGGTGAGGCCCCCCTGAACACCTGCTGCTGGCCCTCAGGGACCTCGATTGTGTTCGACATGAGCCTCACCTACATCTTAGTGGCGCTGGTGGCTGTGCTCCTGAACAACGTGCTGGTGGAGAGGTTGAGCCTGCACACCAGGATCACCGCAGGTACACCCACCCCACCAGGATCACCGCGGGTACACCCCCCCCACACCCACCAGGATCACCGCGGGTACACCCCCCCCACCAGGATCACCGCGGGTACACCCCCCCCCACACCCACCAGGATCACCGCGGGTACGCCCCACCAGGATCACCGCGGGTACGCCCCCCGCCCCGCACACACCAGGATCACCGCGGGTACGCCCCCACACCTCTCCCACACCTGGCCCGTCATTTGCCCCCAGTTTCCCTGGATCTCGCTCCCCTCATCTGTGAAATGGGCACCCCTTCTGGGAACACCAGGGGGTTCTATGTGTGAAAATAAGGCCAGGCCTGCGGTGGGCACACCACACACTTGCATGTGGTCTGCCCCGGGGAGGTTCTCTGTGCCACATGTTGTCCAGGCGCCCAAGCTCCTCCCTCCGCCTCATCTGCTTCCCTTCCCCTGCCTCTCTCTGTTGATGTTCAGCTTCAAGGGGCCCGCTCAAACAGCACCTCCTCCAGGAAGCCTTCTGGGCGCTCTCCAAGCATTAAGAGCAATGGCAGAGAGAGCCCAGACCTGGCGCTAGGAGGGATGGATGAGTGGGAGCCCCTAGGCCACCGCTCGCTGCCCCACTCCTGACTCTCCCCCACAGGCTACCTCTTGGCCTTGGGCCCCCTCCTCTTCATCAGCATCTGTGATGTGTGGCTGCAGCTCTTCTCACGGGACCAGGCATACGCTATCAACCTGGCCGCTGTGGGCACTGTGGCCTTCGGCTGCACAGGTAGGGACTGGGGGCGGGGCAGGCGGGGGGCTGAGCCCCTCGATGCCCACTGCGTGCATCCCACCCGAGCACCCAACACGCGGATGGGACCCCACGCAGTTGCTCAGCAACTCAAGCTGACGGCAGCCCCATCTATGACGTGGGGCCTCTCCGGCTGCCGCTGCTGGGGGAGGGACAGACTAGAAGTCCTTGTGGACTCTTCCCTGCCTCACCCAGAAGTGACGCATGTCATTTCCGTTCATGTCCCCTTGGGCAGACGAGTTAGGGTGCCCGGCTGCCCCTGGGTGGGCACATGGGAGGCAGGACGCGCCCATCTGGTGGACAGAGCTGTTTGCACCCCGCCCTGCAAGGTGGTTGGACCCAACGCCTCTGCCGCCGGCGGCACTACCACCAGTCCCCGCTCCCTCGCCGGCCCAGCGCTCTCAGGCTTGGGGTTTTGTTCCGTGCCAACCGGGGGTGTCTCACGGTTGCCCCACTCCCTCTCTCTCTCAAGTGCAGCAATCCAGCTTCTATGGGTACACGGGGATGCTGCCCAAGAGGTACACCCAGGGCGTCATGACCGGGGAGAGTGAGTATCAGCAGACCCGGAGGCGGGGGCTGGGCTGCCCGGGGTCCGGAAGCCCCTTCCTGGGGAACGCGTATGATGTGCCTGGGACCGAGGCTGGGCTCCAAGCTCTGGGCCCCTGGCTGGGGACAGGGACCTTTGTGATGTGAGAAGCACATGCCCTGTGCCCGTGTGCGGTGTGCATCTGTGTCAGTGTGCGTGTGTGCGCGCGAGGGTCAGCCCACCTGTGCCCACGAAGTCAGTGCTGAGCCTCAGCACCCAGCCCCCGGGCACGCGCCCCCGGGGCCAGCCCTGCGGGCACCTGCCTTCGTTTTTCAAGCTCCCTTTCCAAAGCCCACTCCATTCCCCCAGCTCAGTGAACGGCACCCTGTGTCCCAACCAGAAACTTAGCAGCCTTGGACGTGCTGCCAGGCTGGTTCTTCAGCCCAGCCCTCTGTCCAGGCGGCCAACGCCCCCTCTGCCCAGGGGCAGCACCGCCCTCAGCCCGCCCCACGCATCAGGGCACCTGCCCCTGGACGTCCTCACCCTCCGCTCCGTGCTCCGTGCCGGGGAGGGACCGGAGCCGGAGCCGGAGCCGGGGCCGGGCGGGTTCGGCAGTGCCGGTCGCTTCCCTTCAGCGCGTAGCGCTCCTGCCAGGCCGCTCGGCCCCTAGTCTCTGCCGCCCCCACCGCCACGCGCTGTGGTCGGCACTTTCCTGACTTGTTTGCAGCCTCTCCCCACCGAGTCCCAGGAAAACAGGCCCAGGGGTGTCGCCCCCGCCGTGTCCTCAGCAGGCTCTTGGCAAAGGCTCCCAGGGTGTGAGCGGCAGCGCCACGGGCGGGGGCGGGGTCTGGGCAGACACTTCCGTGGCAGGTCCCTGCGTGCGTCGGGGGCTGGGCGGGGTGGAGGCGGAGGGCCTGGCGCTGGGACAGGGGCGGGGCGACTGCGGCGGGCCTCCAGGGGCCGAGTGGGGTCCCAGGCCCCCGTCCCGCGCCCCGCAGGCACGGCAGGCGTGATGGTCTCCCTGAGCCGCATCCTGACCAAGCTGCTGCTGCCGGACGAGCGGGCCAGCACGCTCATCTTCTTCCTGGTCTCCGCCGGCCTGGAGCTGCTCTGCTTCCTGCTGCACCTGCTGGTGCGCCGCAGCCGCTTCGTGCTCCACCACACCGTGCGGCCGCGCGACAGTCGCCCGGGCCGCAGGACCGGCTACCGCGTGCACCATGACGTGGCTGCCGAGGACGTCCACTTCGTAAGTCCGCAGCTCCCGCGGCCGCCTGCGTCCCCGCCATGACACCCGGGAGGAGCCCGTGGGCGCTGGGCGCAGCCTCCCCCCGGTTCCAGCCGAGGTCCCCCCGAGTGGCCTTGCTGTGCCATGGTCTCAGGCTCTGCCCCACGGTGCCTCCCTCCTTTTGTGAACCAACTTTCATCCCTTCGTAGCAGCTCGCGTCTGCGGTCTGAGCCCCATCCGCAGGCCTTGCGGTGCCTCCTGGGCAGCTGAGGCGCCCTCTGGTGGCCGTGGGGCTGCCTAGCCCCAGAGGGCCCGGGATGACAGGTGGGGAGGCCATGGGAACCTGCAGGATGCAGAGCCGGGCAGGGAGAGCCAGGATGTCCTCACACACGCTGACCCGGAGAGCCACCGAGGCCCTTGGCAGGGGACACTGCAGTGAGCCAGAGATGCTGCCCCCCTCGGAGCCCAGAGACCCCAGGATGGGCAGAGGGTGGCGTGTTGAGACAGGACCCACCCTGGGAAACGATGGGGACCCCGGGGCCTCCAGGGTCTGGGAGGCTCCTGAGGAGCTCGGTGGGCGGAGCCCCGGCCTGTGGGGGGTCCCCGGGAAAGACACTGGGAACAGAGGGAAAAGCTGCACAGGCTCAGAGGCTGGGGGCTGGGGGAGGGGGGCGGCTCTGTGTGTGTGGGGCACAGTGAGGAAGCCAGGACAGGCAGCGGGCCATGAGGAGCCCCACCTAAAAACCCTGACCTACGCCGTCCTCCAGGAGAACCAGGGCCCAGCCCTGGCCAACAGCGTGTCCCCGAAGGAGAGCCCGGCCCACGAGGTGGTCGTCAGCAGCAGGGGGGCCTACACGCGCTTCGACGTGCCTCAGCCGAGAGTCGAGCGGAGCTGGCCCTCCTTCAGAGGTGGGGGCTGGGCCCCCAGCTCGCTGCAGCGCGCGTGCGTGGCGCTCGGGTGGGGGAGGGGCCGGGTGCTGACCCCTGACCCCGGCCCCCCACAGCCCTGCTGCTGCACCGGTACGTGGTGGCCCGCGTCATCTGGGCCGACATGCTGTCCATCGCCGTGACCTACTTGATCACCCTGTGCCTGTTCCCGGGTCTCGAGTCCGAGATCCGACACTGCGTCCTGGGCGAGTGGCTGCCCATCCTCATCATGGCCGTGTTCAACCTCTCCGACTTCGTGGGCAAGGTGGGCTGCGGCCCGCCCCGGGGGGAGGGGGGAGATGGCTCGGCGCGGCGGAGCGCCGCAGAGTGCCAGGGCCGCCGCGGGGGCCACAGAGGTGTCCCTGGGAGGGCGCGCCCTGCGCCAAGGATGCGCATGGCTCCTGGGTGCGGAGGGTGGAGCCCGGCGTGCACCCCGGAGGGTGTGGCCCAGGGCGCAGCCCTGAGGGCAGCCCTAGCAGACCCCCACGCCAGCCCTGGGGTGGCGCCTGTGTCCCGCAGGCCGGAGCAGGCCTCCGCCCCGCTAGGTATAGGTAGCTGGTCTCCGACAGCACCAGGAATGCCCCAGAGGGGCGGGGCCCCCAGAAATGGCTCCAGAAGCCAGAGCGTCACGCGCCGTGAGTGTGGGGGGTCAGGGGTCAGGGCTGGAGGCTCCGGGCTGCGGGTTCTGGAGCAGGCCTGCCGGGGCCCTGTGTAGGGGGATGGAGAATGCGGGGCTCAGAGGGGGAGCCACTCCCGAGGTCACAGCTGAAAAACGCGGGTCTGCACTTCGAGCGAAAGCAAGCGGGTTCACTCCCAATCCTGCTACTTCCCGCTGCTCGGGGGTCTGACCCTTTGGGCTCTGCGGCCTCCTTTCTCAAACAAGGTCAAGAGCCCCGCCCTGTGAGGGTCCTGCAGGGCTGAATGGGGACATGGGGCCGGGCCTGGTGTGCTGCAGGGGGGTTTGCTGGGTTTCCGTGGGCGGAGCTGGAACTGTCGGGGGACGGGGTGGTCTGGAGGCGGCCGGGGCCAGTGGGGCCCACACGCCCGGCTCCCGCCCTGCAGATCCTGGCGGCCCTGCCCGTGGCCTGGCGGGGTCCCCACCTGCTGGCCTGCTCCTGCCTCCGCGTGGTCTTCATCCCCCTCTTCATCCTCTGCGTCTACCCCAGCGGCACGCCCACCCTGCGCCACCCTGCCTGGCCCTGCGTCTTCTCCCTGCTCATGGGCATTAGCAACGGCTACTTCGGCAGCGTGCCCATGATCCTGGCCGCCGGCAAAGTGGGCCCCAGGCAGCGGGAGCTGGCAGGTGAGGCGCGCATAGCGGTGACAAAACAGTGATCCCTGCGTGATCCCCGGGGCTGGTGGTCCCGAGGAGACAGCAGGCACATAACAGAAAAATACAGCAGAGAAGTGGGAGGGTAAGGGTGGGGGGGTTCACGATGCCAGTGGGTCAGCCTGGGGAGGCTTCACGGAGGGGGTGGCTTTTGAGTAAAGACCAGGAGGAAGTAGCGAGGGGGCCAGCCGAGTGACCGGGCGAGGGAAGGGCGTGGGCAAAGCCTGTGGTGGGAGAGCTGCGTGTGCTGGTGGCAGGGGAGGTGAGAGACGAGAGGGGGCCGGGGAGAAGGCGCCGGTAGAGCCCACGGGGCCACGTGGGGACCAGGGAGACGGGTGAGAAAGGGCCTCTGAAGTCTGGGGCCTCAAGGCAGGAAGGCAGCATTGCTGTCAGCCAAGATGGGGAGGGCCCGGCGGTGGGGCAGACGTTCCAGGTTGAGTTCTGGACACAGGAGGTTCCAGAAGCCCACTGGACACCCCAAGCCGTGCACGACGAGGAAGCCGGCCAGGCCTGGGGCCCCGCGTGCACCAGCCCGACTCCAGCCCGACCCCAGCAGCCGGCCCTGGTCACGTGCTTCACACAGAGGGGCCAGGGCCCCCGCTGTCGCCCCTAATCCAGGGGCCCCTGGGTCCATCCGCGCAGATTGGGGTTTGTCCGTGTGCGTGTGCAGCTGCCGTGGCCCCGGAGGGCCGCCCGCTGCCCGCCCCCCGCCAGCTCAGGTCTGGTCTTGCCCACAGGGAACACCATGACCGTGTCCTACATGACAGGGCTGACACTGGGCTCCGCCGTGGCCTACTGCACCTACAGCCTCACGCGCGACGCCCACCGGAGCTGCTTCCAGACCTCCGCCACCAACGCCTCCTTCCCCGCTGGCCTCTGAGCTGGCCGGGAGCGACGCCGCCCTCGCCGGGGCCCCGAGGCCTGGGGCCCCTCCCCGCCCCGCCTGCCGTGCCTGCGGGCCCTGGCCTCCTCCCGTGCCAATATCGCCACCCTCTCTGGGTCCAGTTGCCCGTTGCTGCAGCCCCAGGGTCCTGCCAGTTCTCGGGGCCTCGGACGCGTCGCTGCCCTGGGGCCTCGCCCAGCACTGTGCTCCGCGTCCGGTCTCACGCTCGCTCCTCCCCCTCTGTCCGCGTCCACCGCTCCGTGGGGGTCACTCATAGCCATCCCGCTCAGAAGAGTGGACCGCCAGCCTGTGTCCCTCCTGGCGACCCCCACCGCCAGGTCAGCATTGAGAGCCCCTTGTCCCCAACCACACCTCCCACGGCACCTGACCGAGCCCCTCCCCCAGACGGAAGAGGAGAGGGTCAGCCCCCACCGCTGTCGCCCGGAGGCCCCTCCTCCCGCCGCCCCCTGCCCCCCCACCCCACCAGCCTTAAACCCTGGCTCTCCCGGACATCGGGTTTGCTGTGGAGGAACTGGGCCTGGGGCCCGAACGGTGTCGGAGCGCGGCCTCTGCCGGCTGGGACGCGGCAGAAGCGCCTCGTGCGCCCGGCAGCCCCCTGACACCACAAGCCTGGGGCCCATTGACTCCTCCAGCTCCTCCACCTGTGCCTGATACCGGGGACGGCGTGCGGGCCCCACAGCAGGGCCCCGCACCCCGGCTGAAGTCAGCTCTCGCCCGAAGCCTTGCTTCCCATCCAGCAAAGCCTGAAGAAAGAAACCTGAGTCCCGGGCCTGGAGGGACAGGTGCGGGCCCCACCAGCCCGGACCCGCCGGTCTCCAGGCCGGCTCAGAGCCGAGTGAAGGGGCTTCCTGGAGGCCTGCCAAAGACGGGCTCTTCCAGGAGGACGGCCGGCCCTTCCAGGCCAACGGCACAGCTGTGACCACCGCCCCAGCCCTCTGCGTCCCGTCAGCCACCCGTCTGTCCACGAACTGTACCGCAGCGGCCATTAAAAGATGACGGCAGAGACACTGCCCACGTCTGCCTCCGAGTCCCGTCTGTGGGTGGGGGCTGCGCCGCCTTCCCAGCCGCCAGGATAGGGTGGGCCCCGCGGGACACGGCCGGCTGCAGAGCGGGGACCCCCGTCTTCCCTCCTGGGGGGTGGCCGTGCTGGCCCCCAAGCCCAAAGGGTCTAGGGGCCAGGTGGGCACTGGTCAGGGAGCGGAGGGTCCCCACACAGCTGGCAGGCAGGCCCGGGGCAGGCTGGGGGGGCGAGGGGGGACTGGAAGCATCTGGGCTTTGAAGGCCCTGAGGTCTGAGAGGACGGCTGCATCCCACCCACTTAAAAGGGCAGAAAGACAGAGAGGAGAGGTGGCTTGCCCCTCCCCCATCTGCCCCCCTCCCCAGACTTAGAGCCAAGACCTGAGTGAGACCAAATGTTCTGGGCTCAAACCAGGTTCTCCTGCTGACCTGTGACATCTGGATGAATTCCCATGCTGTCCTGTGCCTCAGTTTCCCCAAGGAGTGGGGTTAGTCCATTCTTGGATGTGGGTCGCTTGGAGGGAGAGTGGGGAGGGGGGCTGGCCGTCCAAGAGTCGTCTGTGCTCCAGGTCTGCAGCCTCGGGGACCTGCGCCCCGCGAGACGGGCGCGGGACCATCAGGTGGGCGGCCCGCAACTACGTGGGCGAAGACCGGGCGGGCAATGCCGGCGGCGGCCGCCAGGTGGCGCCGGCGCACCGCTGCACCCGCGTTTGCGGGTGTGGGAGCGGCCGCCCACCTTCGCGTGACTCAGTGTCTGAAACGAGGACCTCCCGAGCCCTTTCCCGGCCAGACACAGCCTTCCTTTAATTCATGCTGCTGATTGCCTAGCCGTTCCCGCGACGCGCAGTCGTGAAATAGCAAAGCCCGGGGTGTCATCCGTTTTCCGGGCACTGGGTTACCAGCGGGCACCTTTGGGGTCAAACTGGCTGACCTCAGCGAGCAGAGAGAGGGTGGCAGCACCCGGACCCTTGCGGGGACCCCACCCCTCTATGTCCTCGTCGGCTCAGGTCTATTCAGACCGTCGGCTTCATCTTCGGGCGTGGGCGTGGCTGGGAGCGCTCAGCTGCGAGTTTACAGAGAAGGCGTTGCCGGCCCCGCCCCGCCCGTGCGCCCAGCCGTGAGAACTTTCCGCGCAGGTGAGCGCGTTCTCTGCCTCGGCTGTTTAGTATATGGACTACTTAGTGTAGTATCCACTAGCGACCCCTAGTGGGAAACATGGCTGGTGCAACCGAGAAACTCATTTAAAGAGGAGGGAAACATCAATGTGTGGTTGCCTCTCCCGCGCCCCCTACTGGGGACCTGGCCCACAACCCAGGCCTGTGTCCTGACTGGGAATGGAACTGGCAACCCCTTCATAGGCCAGCACTCAATCCACTGAGCCACACCAGCCAGGGCTACATTAAGGCCATTTAAATAGCCACCTGTGGCCAGTGGCTATGGCCTTCGGTGGCGCCCAGCTCCTGTGCCCTGAAATGTCAGCTGCCCCCAACCCCACCCTTGCCGGGAGCCACATCCGGACACCAAGCCCACCCCAGCCCCTGAAATGAACCACTCCACACAACTGTGTTTTTCCAATTATAGCTTTTTCTTTTCTTTTTTTCTTTTTATGAAAAAGATCACACAGAATTCGCCAACAAACAAAATTCCAAAAGAAACTTTAAAAAAAAAAAGGAAAACAATAATTCCCCCCAAAAATAACACCGAAGTCTGGCTTTTCCTTCCCTTAAGATTGTCTGGACAAGTCCTCCGGTCTCCCTGGAGGTCGCGGGGCTGGTAAGTGCTTTCCTGGGCCAAGCCGGCTCGGCGGCCCTCCTCCCTCAGCCTCCGCTCTCCCTCACTCCTCCTCCACCTGGGGGCGGGCACAGTACACCTGGGCGGGGTGGGGCGGGGCGGTGGGTGGGGCGGGGGTGTGCTCGGGACAAGGGGGCCCGTGAAGCTGGGTGCTAGACACTCACCATCTAACAGGAAATAAAAAATAATATTCTGCACGTCAGAATGTGTTCGCTTTTTTTTTATAATTTCATAGCTATTTTTTCACAGTTTTAAAAAGTTTATATTTATATATATTTATATATATTTATCTTTATATATATAATTAAAAAGTTGACTCCATTTAGAGGTGTATGATACAGGGGAAGAGTCTCGGTACAATAAAACTGTACAGGTTAAGACTGCCGCCTCCTCCGGGTGGCGCCGGGACCAGATTTCAGCACCATCGGGGTTGTCTGTAGTGTGAGGGTCCGGGCCAGACGGCCTCAGGGCACGCAGCCCCTTCCACCTGGCGCCGGGCCGACGCTGCGGGGCTCCCTCTCACCTGGCTCTGTTCCCCAAGTCCAGGGTGTCCTGAGAGGGCGGAGGCCGGGCCCCGCCGGGCCTGGCCAGTGAGGCTGGTGGGCGGCCGAGGGTGGGCTCCGAGCGGGGGAGCACTGGGGGCCCCGGGAGGGTCCGTGAGCAGCAGGCACCCCAGAGTGAGCGTCCGCCTGCTTCCTCGGAAACGCCCCGTCCGTCTGTGTCGGCAGGGGCCCTGGGGTCCCGCACGGCCTGGCCAAGTGCTGACGAGGTGCTGGAGGCAAGGCCCGGGGGGCCAGGCAGAGCCACACCCTGATAGCGGAGCGGAGCCCCCTCTTGGGAGGCACCGAGGGGTTCAGAAGGGGGGCCGGAGACGTGTGCACATGTGTGCACAGACGTGCATGCATACGGGCACACACATGCACACACTCACGCGCAGGGTGTCCACGGGCACACTTGCATGCACACAACCAACACACGGGGCCCCGGGCGGCGGCAGCGAGGCGGGGCCGCCAGCCGCGGCCCTCAGCAGAGCACGGGCACGCCGTCGGTGGAGAAGATCATGCCCGTGGTGGGCTCGTAGGTGCCGGCGAGGTAGTACAGGCCCTCGCTGTCCTGGTGCTTCTTGGTCTTGAGCATCTGTTCGTACTGCTCCAGGCCCACCACCAGGCACTTGTGCGACACCGTCTGCACGTCATTCTCATCCACGTGGGAGGACTGGTACAGGGCGCGCTGTGGGGGGCGGGGGCGGCATCAGAGAGACCCGCCCCACCCACGCCAGACCCGAGGGCCAGGGGAGCGCGGGAGCAGAAACAGAGGGACTCCGGGAGGGACCGGAGCAGGAAAGGGCAGGACTCAGACACCCGGATGCTAAGACAGAGATCGAGAGGCAACGAGACACAAGAGGCTGGGAGACAGAGACCTGAGGAGTAAGAGACCCCCGTGGCAGAGACAGAGAGCAGAGGCCAGGGAGCGGGAGCAGGAGCAGGAGCAGGAGCCGAGGCCCCAGTGACACCGGAGCCATCCCAGCCGCTGGGAGGGTCTGAGGAGCTGCCCTGCCTCCCTGCCCCCTCCCCGTACCTCCATAAAGTCCTTCCTCTGGCTGGAGGCCCGCAGGGCTGCTGGAAGGCTGCGGCCGGACTTCTGGTCCCAGTGCTGTGGGCAGCGGACAAGGGCCAGTGTGAGCCGGGGCTGGCCTCTCCCTCCCTCCGCCCGAGGGGCACCCCGGCTCGACCCCGCCCCCGGAACCCACCTGGCCCTCGTGGAGGCGCTTGCCCGGGCTGGTCTCCTCGGGGTGGTAGAACCACTTGACCCGCACCACCATGTTGCTGCCCCAGGACTCCCACATGCTCTGGATGCGGCCGATGTAGGGCAGGTTGGGGCGGCCGGCCGACAGGAACACGGCGCAGTCCCCGATGCGGATCATCTCCTTGCCGCGCACGATGGCCTTGTAGAAGAGCTTGCGGGCCTTGCCCTTCATACCGCGGCGCTGCAGGACACGCAGGCAGGGAGGTCAGGGAGCCACCCCGGCCTCCGCTGGCCCTGCCGCACCCCCGCAAACGCAGGGGCTAGAGGGGGTGAAGGGAAGTGACCCCCCAGCTGGCTCTAACGGGAACACCTCCTGACCCCTCCAGCAGCGGCTTGCGACGCCTCGTCCCAGAGCAGCGCTGGCAGACGCCCCGAGGCCCGCGGGCCCCACGCCTGCTCTGGGCCCGGCGGGGTCCTGGCAGCGGCCTGTGCTGACCCCCCATTCCCAGACAGGGACAGTGAGGCACAGGGAGGAGGCACGGGCGGTGACGCGGAGCGGCTGGCAGCTGAGCAGCTGACAGAGCCATCACCCCGCCCACGC